CAAAGAAAAACAAGTAGATAGAATAGAAAAAAATAGAAAGCTTGTGTTTGTTAGTTTTTGTTGTTGTTTTAAAAAAAATAAAAAATAAAACAAAAAAGAAGATAAATATAGATAAAGTAAAATTTAAATAAAATAGTGTATATATATATATGTATATATATAGATTTTTAAATTATTTTTAAAGTAAATGTTTATTTTTGTGTTTACGTGCATTTATTGGCATCCATGAGAAAAAAGGAAACTGAATAAAGTTAAACTTGCAAAAACTAAAATCAAGTTACAATAACGGCATAACATTATTGGCTTACGAATATACTATAATAAATTACAATAGTAATATATTGATATTCATAACTATATATTTATGCTAACACCTGGGGGAGAAATTAAATGTTATATTTGATGTTTATGTTTGCATATTTTATTTATAAAATAAATACAATTATGATATACTTATTTTTATTTAGCATTATTTTAAGGACATACAGCGCTTCCGTCTTTAAACCAATACATGAGCACATAGACAGCACGCGCGTCCGCGGCTCCAGTCGGCCATTTTGACTCTGGAGAAATAATGTGGAGAGCCTCTTCTGCTCTCGGGGTAAAGCTCTGAAGGGCCAGTGCTGAAGCAGGGCTGCGGGGGGAGGAAGGATTTGAGGGATTTTTTATGGATGCAGGACGATGCATCGCCATCCAAATATCACATTTCCCCTCTGACAGCCTACAGAACAGCTCTGATCACAGATTGCGGTTTGTTTGATATCTCAAAGTATTTCTGGTAAGTTCACAGCAGTTTATTTGTGCATAGTAATGTTATTTATCACTGTTTCAGTGCGTGTATTTTCTGGTCGATCGTCTCTGGTGAACACAGCAGATGCGTCTAATGACCTACATATGGACTCACGTGACAAATGAGCAATGATTAAATATACCATGATTATGTTAAACACAAATGCCTTTCACCTTGGACTATATGCTCATATACAGTCTTCATATACTCTGAGATCA